ACCTCTTTTTAGAACAACTGAAAACAGCACCCGAGAGAGGAAATGTACCTACCGTCTTCGCCCGAATAGAACGCCCGGTCATTATCACTGTACGTGGACTGAAAGTGGGCCAAGTACAGCTACTAATGACCAGACTTTCTATTCTTCGGGTGAACACGGTAGTGTTTGACATGTTCTTGGTGTTTGCATCTCAGAAGGAACCAGTAGATGTTGCTAAGGAGATGGCTGTCATCATCAAGGAGGTGGACGACCGTCAAAGTGAGCACATACGAGTTGTACCCATGGAAATCCAGGATGCTATACAAATCACAAATAGTTCCAAGACGGTCCCAAAGGGTACAATCTATTGAATCTCCTACAGACTGAAATGAACTCTGCGAATCACTCGAGGAACTTGTTGAAAAGGGTTGGGTTAGCGACAGCACTTCACCTCATGGGGTACCTGTATTTTTTGCTCCCAAGAAGGGAGGTGAGTTTAGGATACGTGTTGACTACAGGGTTCTCAAAGTCATCGCAGTTCAAAATGCAGAGCCCCTACCGCACATAGACAACTTCATAGACAGGCTACAACTGTGTAAGTACTTCAGAAACATAGGTTTGGGTGTTCAAGGATCCTTTTTGTGCCTCCATTTCTGTGCTTTTTTTCCTTTTCTTTTGCCTCCATTGATGTGCTATTGTCATATCTGGGTACCATAAGATGGCGTAAAGCCTGAGGATCAACATTAGACAGTATTTCAGACAATGAAGAGTCTGCATGAGTTTGTGGTGATGCCTTTGGGACTCGGCGATGCACCTGATGCATTCCAACCAGCCATGAATAGAGTGCTTCACAGGTTTGTAGCAATCTAAGGATCATTTAGACAGGTTCATATCACTCTAAGAGTCTAAGGACCATTTGGACAGGTTTATAGCAGTCTAGGACCTTTTAGACAGGTCTATAGCAATCTGTCTCGACAATACAGTTGTCCTGAGCAAGAGGTCAGAGGAGCATGCCCGGCACTTGAGGACAGTACTCAGTTTCCTCAGCAACCATAAGTAAGAGATTAATGCTTCGAAATGTGAATTTGCTAGCACTAGAATCTTATACTTTCATCATGATGAGATCTCCGAGGACTGATGGCTGTGGAGAATGTGAAGGCTGTGGCCACTAAGGGTTGGTCAAGACCAAAGAACATAACGCAAGCGACGTCTTTCCTGGGACTGGACGGATACTATAGGTGGCTTGTACAGGGGTACATTAGCATGAAAAGTCCTTTGACAGATCTCACAAGAAAGGATTGCCCATCGGAACACAAGCGGTTAACGGGGACCCCCACTTTTCGGCCCTAGGTAACGATGAATGATCCTGAAAGATCCTGAATTTAGGGTTTTTTAACTTTTTTTGTGTTTTTTTGGAATTTTCTTTTTTGCCTGTTTTGACCTTATGGTTTTCTTACAAATTGAGGCGAAAAATGGGGGGCCGGTTAACCTTTTCTCCATCGGAATGGGCCAGAGAGTGGGAGACGGGAAGACAGTTCTCATTAATTATCCACTAGACTGCCGATACAGAATCATCATTCATGAAGATCGCTAATGGTAGTGGTTGATAGGCATGTCAGAAGTGAGCACCGGCAGACTTTAACGAAACGCTGTCCCACAGAACTTGCAGTGAGCTCGGAAAATCATCCCGAGACAAATGGGAAGGCTGAACAGATGAGCAGGTTAGTACAACAACTGCTTAGACATTTAAATTGATTGGGATGAGCATCTGCCTACTGCAGCCAACGCTTATCACAACAGTATCCACGAATGAACTCCATAGGACAGAAGCCAACACCCTTCCAATTTCTTGTTTACTGAGAAGGAACAGGAACTACGCCATGGAACGTTGGAATTCATAATGGAATATGAAAAGACCCCGCCGAAGATTACAGAACGACTTTGAAAACCTCAGCAGGACATGATACGGCATGCCATTGAACACAGGTGTATACCGAGTTCCGGGTGGGCCATCTCGTTTGGGTGAAAGATTTCGGAGCGTAAAGAAAACATATCCTGAACGCTACTGCCTATTTCCTTTAGACCCCGGACTATCCTAGACATTGTAGATGATGACCCAGATGCTCCTCGCTCTCTCTCACTTGGTGTCCCTCCTCACTTGAGGACTTACCACGTTTGTCATGTCTCCAAACTGTGACCCTATCTAACTAAGATAACTTCCCATCTCACAGCGCATGGATCTTTCGGCACTGACAGCTTTTAGGTAACGAAAAGGCCACTATTGAGTGTGAGTGGCGTTAAACCATACATGTATAAATTACCGGGACTAAAAATTAATAAAAAAATCAAATTGAGATTGTTTAATTAACACATTGCGATGTCGGCTCTTCGCCACCTGGAGCGGTAGTACGTTCCAAGGGTTGGGCTGTTCGCCCATGAAAGCAGTACGTGAGCTGGGTTCAGAACGTCGTGAGACAGTTCGGTCCCGTACTTCACGATCTGAGTGTGCATCCAGATATCTCGGGACAACAGTTCCTGGACAGAGGGCATGGCCCAAGGAACAATACAACGTACGGTTCAATTAACACATGGATCTCAGCAGAGAACGGCGCAGTTGATAAGTATGTAACGAGTGTCGTATCTGCGTATAGAGGGACATATGGAAGAGATTCATCGAGGACTTTGAACCTCGGGGGGGAGAATGCATGTCCTCAAAAAGTAATGCGGGCAATGAGGGCCGTTTTGCCCAGTTTTCTCCACTCGTAGCCTGGCCCAGCCAATTTTCACGTTCCCAGACCAGACATGGCAAGGAGGTCAGGCCAGACTCGTGCCGTTGAAGAAACCAGAAAAAACCAGCAGCAGCACACTGCTCTGGGATCTTGGAGATCCTGGCAAGGCCAGTTGCTGAGCGCCATGGACTTTATGTCTGAGAGACGCTGTGCAGCAGACAAGTGGGAGACATTTGGGGACTGGCACATTGCCGTTAGCTGTATTGAGCACTACCGGATAGCCAAATTGCAACGAATAGCTGGTGCCTGC